AAACTAATATCAGCCCAGTTTCTAAAATTATTGCCTCTTTATTTCCTAGTCTACTCAGTATAGTATTTTTTAAACTTTTCTACTGTACATTGTACAATCTCAAGCTAGCTGATATTGTTCTTATACTTATATATTTAAAATAAGGACATTTATTTTGTTTGCTATTCCTGACTGCCAAGCCTAATTTGTAAAAATATAACAACATATTTCTTAAAACAATAATTCTTTTTGATCAAAAGTTAACAATCGAATAATATTAAAAAATAACATGCTTTAATACCTTGACATAGATCAGCTAACTTTGGAAAATTCAACTTGCATTGTTGGCACAGAGTTGTATTTTTGAACTCTCAGATAGTTATAATAAATTAACCACTTACATATAGCTTAAAGGTAATCAGATATGCATATATGATACAAGAAATATTTTGTTTTGCGTGTTTTTACTATTATGAACAACTTATATAATCAGGTATCAAACCAGTACACTGTTGTACACAGCCTACCAGTAAGTAAACAGACACCCACTCTTAAATGTGTTTAAACACTGGGGTTATTTACATATGAAATCACGTAGATGGTCAATTTGTATTTCAAGGGTTTCTACTTGCTGTGTACATCTTATTAGTAACCAGGTTATTTTCCACTGTTGCAAATCATACAATCATTCACATCTTATAATTGCCATGAATGATCGATGTCATTACCTGTTACACAGTCATGCCCACTGTCTCCATCCAATACCCGAGATTCCTCTGTCCATCTAACTAGTGCTGAAGGAATACTAGCAAGGGTTCCAGATCCACCTCCAGAAAGTAGAGAATTCTGTTCCTAGAATTGAAAAAAAAAAAAATCACTGATGATAATGGTAACAAAAAAAACAACCAACTAAAAACATGAAGATATTAAACATTTAAAACATTTATTTATTCTACATGCAACTGAAAAAGCATAAATTAATTGGTTGTCAATTACATTTTATGTGTCTATGAAAGTAAATTCTCTATAATACAGGGTTCATATACATTTGAAAGATCAAAATTCCAGACTCTCAGCATTTTAGTGGATTTGTATGCAGTTTTTGATATTCATTACTAGAGAGTTAGTGCATTCTATATAAATGTACACCACAAGTTTAATCTAAATGCTTGTCAAACATATACACTATTCAGTAACTAACCCTTTTTTAAATAACATAAAGGCTGCAGTTAAAATCCACAGAAAATGTGTTAAGGTTGCATTCAACTTTAACCCTCTCTTATTATGCTTATGCATCACATCAGATATGACATCATACATACTCTCAGAAAATAATGCATACTAAATAAATTTATACAAAACATAAGATTTGATTAAAAGTACTTTACTGTTTTTTACATTTTTTTATTACAATACTAACTTTTAAGTCTACTAGTTAACTCTCCAGTAGTATTTTACCCACAACAGGAAAAAAAGGTTACCAAGACATCTGTTACTTTGGAGGTTTCTGGATGTCAGGCACTTTAACGACTGCTTATTTTTATTTAGAGACAATACTTCAGGTTGCCACTTGTGCTAAAAAACTCATGATAGATTTCACAATTTTCATAAGTACTTCATTTGCTTTAATGAATTATTTTTGTACTCCCACGAGTTTAAAGCTGGATGATCAGTGGCATTTACTAGTTGATTAATTGATGACATTCAATTCATCCATTAATATACCACACCTCCTGCAACCTGTTCAAGCAGATAAAAACAACAACAAAAAACGAGTATGTGGTTTTCATCTTAAGTTTTTCAATCACTGCATTATTCTTGATTTCATATGACAGACCTCTTCTGGAGATTGCCATTTATGTATTTGTGAAAACTGTTAAATAACAAATTCCCACAAGTTTTATGGCCATTTCTTGCTTGTCAGATTAATTGTTAATGGTGACTAAACACCATCACTTGATTACCTACGTTTGTTTTTTTAAATATGCAGCAATACCACACCGATCTTTTGTAAATCAAATACACTGATAATTAAATACTGAAAACACATTTTACTCTCATGATAACGATAATAATGTTTTCATTTAAAATGTATTGCAATTACAACTATAAATAATTCAGTAACCAGTTAGACAATTTATGTATGCTGTTTGAATAAGATTAACAAAAACAATATTTAATAGATACGAGTCAGAATATTTTGGAATTGGCTATGATATTCACAGTAAACAGTAAAAAAAATCCTTGTTTATAAACATTGCAACTCATTAAACCACAGTATATCTATTAAAAAGTAAAAAACACCATAATTTTAAACAAAGAGGCAAACATCAATAAGATATCTTTATTAAGCCTTAAGCAACTTCCAGTCATGTAACTTCTTACTGTATGTACATTTCTGTGTCTAGATAAAATACTTGACAAAACCTTCTCCAAACATTATACACTTGTTACACTTTTAATAAAAGTTTTCTTTGTTACCCACGTAACCCATCTCTTAACTGTACAAGTTCACCTACTTATCCAAAGTTATCTTATGTCTTTTCAGGAAAGGAACATTTACAGAAATTACAAAAATAAATAAATTCTTAAACCTATATATCTACTCTGTTAACACAGGATAGTCTAGTTCTTGCTCTATCCAATGATCTTTAAGCTTTCTTTGTAGCTGTTTTCAAAGCCGTGCTTTATTGTTGAATAATTAAATCACTTGACGTGGCACTATAACATGGTGACAACTAAGGCCTGCACAAAAACTAAGGGAAATTCTTGAAAATCAAGAAATGTATAATATACTTTCAAGGGATGATAGGTTCATTATGAAAATATTAACTCTTTCAGATGAGCAAAATAATTGCAAAAATAAATCAGCAAGTATGTTGTTTTTTGTTACAGGTAAAACCCTTTGAAGCTGTGCAGAAATAAATACAATTTTTTTCTTCAAGAAGTACAATAAGTGTCAAAATATCAGTTATAAAATATTTTTGAGTTCAAATTGTTTGAATATTTAGAATTAACATATGAAATTGGGTTAAAAATTTGTGACAAAATTATATATGAAATGGTTGAGGAAATCATGTCTTCAGGTGCAATACTTTAGAAGTTATTTTGTTCATTCCAAACTGTTGTACAAAACCTGTAACGATGTGGAAATAGTACAATTAATAACATTTGGTAGGTTTCTCCATATAAATTTCCACAAGATTACTATTTTAAATCTATTGAAAAATATTGTTAGCCAACTATCGTGTTTCGTTTTTTGAACATGTTTTGAAAAATAATTTTATTTCCAAAAATGAAAAAAAATATTCAACTAAATTACACATCTTGTAGGCCTATAGCAAAAACTAGTCTCCTTTTTATATATATATATTTTATTCTTGGTGTTTTTGGGTGATAAAATAATTGACTTTATATAAAAACTAGCTGTTTAAAAATGTCACAAAGCAATATACGATATTCATATAAAATTAATTGGAAAAATGATAAGCCCAGTAGGTGGAGTACGCATTTTAAATGTTACAGATTCATACTTTGAGAAAATATTACTCAAAAGAGGTATGATCCATGATGCTTAACTTTTAACTCTTTCAGCACGGGCAGATGTGTTTACCATCTGCTTGACTAGGGAAGGACATTTATACAACAAAAATATGGTAATTCTGTGTGTTCCTCACAAAAACTGGTAAGATTTTGTTAAAGTTAATAAGTACTCTGTCCTTTACCACTTATTATTCATCTTCACACAAATCAGTGGTCCCCTTTAAGCATATTACAGTGTCTTTAGGAGACATGCAACCCATCAGCAAAATGTTAGTTCAGTATGTAAACCGTAAGCCTTTAGAATAGATGCAAAGTATGATGTATATTTTAAAAAAGTGTTTAAACCTTTTAATTATACATTTTAAAACATAACTAATAAATTAATATATAATAGTAGGACCTAAATATAATTTCAACTGTATCTCTTAAATATATAACATACTTAGGTAAGAAACAATTATAAATCCTATTGTCGATCAAGCAGCCAACAATACTACAGTCAGTTCCATGTACACATGATGACAACTGGGTGCCAATGTCAAAATAACCATTGTTACATTATAGTTTAAAATGAGCTCTTTCTAGTGACTATACACATAGGTATCTAATATGTACATTTAGGCTATAAAGCTCAAACAAATCTGTTGAAGGTGGGCATGGCATGTCTGGGGTTGAATAAATGTATTACTTGTTTTAACTGTATTCATTCAGAGAACTTTGAAATGTGAAAGTCAAAAGGTTATGTAAACATCTTATTGTCTAGATGTACCTATACTCAACTACCATTGTATTATTGAAGATACAGAGAGTCAAAGTAGAGAAGTTTCATAGTTCATTGGTCTCATGACAATACATCTGAAGTTAAGTAGTTTTTGAAAGGTTTATCTTGAAATAAAGAACTTAAGACTTAAATAAAATAAAACTTTGAATCATAACATACATTAGAAAATTAATTTCATTCACATTCATAGATAGTATAGGTGTTTAACTAAATTTTGAATGTAACATACTGACTTGCACAGAAAAGTGTTTAAAGGGGCATCCGTTGTGAAAGTGTTAATTACTTTCAGTGTCTTTTGTTTATTTTTTAGCTGCAGTGTAGTGGCTCACAGAATATCTCAGTTATTTTTTTC